AGGAAAACGGGAACCCGTTATGAGCATAGGCCAGGGGGGATAACCGGCAGAGGCAAGTTAACAGCAGCTTGTTCTGGTGAACAAGGAAAAGTCGTTCATCTATGACTAACGTCAGCAGTGACAACACTGACAGAACGTCATTGAAAGTCAGGGTAAAATTCCGTCGGTTTATTATCAATTATTCCATGTTTTGCAATACCGGGTTATTTACTATTCTAGTTTTTGCTGTTCATCATTGCCAGAAGAGTAGAGCCTGAAATGTCTCTATGATGATATGATCAGTGACCGAGAGACTTAGGCGATACCCAAACCAAAGTAATTTTTTTTTGCTTTCATAAATACTATCAAAATGTCGAGAAGTATACATATGTATGTAAAGAGAGGTTTCCATTTCATCACATCAAACCAAGAGGAGACAGAATATACAGAAAATGATAATGTGTTTAGGTAATCCTATTCTAGTTACAAGAACTGTTATTAGTCTCATTTGTTTACGGCAGAAATTTGATCTAAACGTTAAAATATGCTCGTTTCTCTATGACTGTCGCCAAGTAGGAAATGTTGCTATTAAATCTATAAGGATGCATTCACGCTCTTCTGGAAGCTAACAATTTATAATGTCCAGAGGCATGTGTCGTGATATTTGAGAAAGTTCAGCGATTAAAATTAGAAATATCTCGAGTAATAAATTCCATACATGTACACAAAATCCATGTCTGACATAGTCTATATATATGGTATTGTCTTTGAAAAACGTCCTTATATTACTGCAATCATTATCATCAATTCCGTAATCCGGAACGTAATAACGTTGCAAATTCTAATGAAACAGGTTTCTGATCTTGTGGATGTAGCAGTCTGTTAGTTCCGCAAACCAACGCGTCAGGCGACATGGGGAACCAATGCTGAGAACTAAAGAAAGGCATAATGATAACTACTACTTGTTTATTATTTTGATCAATGATTACTTTCTGGAATGCAATTATAAATTACTTGAAATAAATAAGACTTAATGATGTACTCTTCCTGGGAGTAAAAAATCCACTATTAAAATTTTGATTTTTAGAAAAGTGATTAACTTTTTTCCGAAATGCGTCAGATTATATGTAACAGAAAACAATCAATTTTTACATATTGTTCTTATTTTTTCCTGTATAACAGATATTCATCGTTATTTTCGGGGGCAACCTCTTGAATTATATTTTCGTCGTTGATCACAATGAATCTTGAGGTCGCATAACGGTAAACTGTCATGGCTTGGAAGTGGGGTGTCGTTCCTTTGTAATCTTCAAAAGGAGCGAATCAGCCTGGAACCAATCAAATTGCTTCTCTTGTGCATTTGATCCCTGTGATATCGAGGATGGGTTTAACCCTTGATAAGGTCATTTGAGTTGCATTGCTTGCTAATTTCCATGGACATGAAAGTTTATCATGTAAATGACGGTCGTGTCACTGGTAAATAACCCCTTAAGGTTTCTGGTGCTGTGTTGCTGTAGTTTTTTTTTTACCGGGTTTGTGATTCGTCGGTTTTATAAGATTTTGTGTCCTCTCCTTTCATGAGTGTAAATCTGCAAAAGTGTTAATCTTTTACAAGTAAAAAAATAACACTTATCGATTGGATATTTTTCAATATTTCACTGGCAAAAGTGTTCTAGATATGATAATTCTATGTAAGTATGTCATCTATTTTTACATGTCTGTCGTATGTTACCGAAGATTTTGTAAACGATAGATCTTGTCCCAAAAATAACACACGAACAAAAAGGCAGATTTCATTTAATTGTAAGTTAAACTAAGTATTGTGACTTTATCAGGATTGAAGAAAGAAAAGTCGTTGTTGAAGTTGTATAAAGAGTATGGTTGTTGATATTGCTATTACTGATACCTTTGTTCGTGCTTCCGAATGCTGATACTTTGATCGAGTATTGTGTTATTATTGAGTGTCATGACTGGAATTTACTGCGATTTTTGTTTGCTGAATTTAGTAATCATAATACATTTTCTGATATATGAAAAGAAATTAATTCATTGAACCATTGGGCTAATGTCTATCTCGATTGTAACAATTTTGGTTTTTCTCTCTAGCCTTACTAGAATTTACGAGGCCTTGAAGGCATTTTGCTTCATCGCTTAGCTCAACTGTACTTGAATCAAAATTTATGAAATTCACTTGCCTGTCATTTGTACAATCTTCAACTTTGTAATCGAAAAATATAGTGGAGTTTTTTTTAGAACAAATAAAGTGATGATGAACCCGTGTTTAGTACGAAATAATGCAGCACTGCTTTTCGACTGTTTTGTTTTCTGTGATAATGCAATCTGTGATAATACACATAAAGATCTCTCTTTTCTACATTACAAAAGATGACAGACAGACATGATGATAATAGTTAGGCAATCAGATTCCTATCCTAAATTTAGTTACATTTAGCGTAAAAAAAATCGATTAAAGAAAATGAGAAATATTGGTATCACTTTTCAAACAGTTAAAAATAATTTATTTGCATGATAATGCCATTTTATTCTGTCTGTAATGTAAGTACAACTGTACTTTGAATGTATTTAGGATAATTGTTCAGCTTAAGTGAATCTTTTCCATCGCGTGATTGTTTTTATGTACAGCTCCCTACACCAATGATCACAATAAGCTGATTTTGCTATTATTACTGTTAAAACTTGTTCATACAAGAAATAAAAATGATAATATTTTCTTTTATATGAAAAATATTTGTCCCATCACTACATAAATGAAGATGTTCGCCCTGTTAGAACGTCTGGTAAGGTTACTGATGTCTCGGTATATTTATGTACTTTGTGTAATAGTTAATTCTCAATGAATCTGCATAATTTGCTTTAATTCTAAGTTATACAAGGTTTCACTGATAGTATTATTGTGGCTGCAATTAGGGCATCCAGTAAATTTATCCTTGTCTGAATTATCACAACATACACTAACTTGATAGATGAGGAAATCTTATCTACACATTATGCAATCTTTCCAAAGTACAAGCTATCCAGGCACCAGTATTACAATCCCTCAAACTAATGAACATGATACGGACCTCTCTCGTTGTCTTTGGACTCTCAACATTTACAACGTTTATTACCAACTTGTCTAGTTGTTCAACAAAACCTTCATCAAAGCTTCTTAGTACCATTCTTGCTACTATCATGCCAAAAAATACTCATATTGAAATACTGATCACTCCAGAAATAACATGATTCATGTGAATTTTTAAACAATTTGAAAGAGCTTTCGATCAATATTGAACATCCTGGGTGTTTCTTCTATAACATCGATTTTTTCACTCTTCTCATGACTCATTCTACACTGAAAGACCGCCTTAGTTCTAAATCATGGATTCTTTCTTTTCAAAGAAAAGTCAATAGCGGCACAATTACATGTATATGGTTGTGAACGCAAATTTACAAAGGGGCGGGAATCGTTAAACTGATCGAACTACTTGCTGACAATATCTTCGTCGAATTTAGCGGTACGAACTTCCTGCAGGCCATAAATAAACCTATGGGAGCTAAGTGTGACCCTCTTTGGCTTCCATGATTTTGTTTTCATGTGCGGCAAAGTTCATCGAAGAGCTTTTCAAAACATTCAATAAAGGCTTTCGAATTCGTTTCCAGAAATATTGATAATGTATTTATATAACAAGAGATTTATTTATGTCTAACTATTTATTATCCATAATATAAAATGACATCGGCCGCTTACCTCCATCTTTTTTACAACGGATCCAGCATGAACAGCTTTCCACCTTACTGTAAAATAAGCATGATCACTTCAATTTATCTGTTATTGATTTTTCCATTTCTGGATAACCTCATCCCTGCATCCCCATCCTATGATGTAATCCGTTACAGTTGATTCGACATTCCAGAGCTTATAATCAATATTACGATTTTATTTAACATAAAAAATTGTCGGAAACTGAACGATAAACGGACATTAATAGGTATTGGGACAGGTTGATGAAGACTAAAGACTATAGGGAAGTATTACGTCGCCATTGTAATCTCTTCGAGATATATTCTAATTCTTTGTGCGATATGAAGCTGAACGTGTTCGATGTTCGTTGGAATACCTGGTGGTTCCGTTGTACGATATGAAGCTGGACGTGTTTCATGTTCGGTAGTATACCTGGTGGTTCCGTGGTGTGATATGAAGCGGGACGTGTTTGATGCTCGTTAGAATACCTGGTGGTTCTTTTGTGTGTTTGATGTTCGGTAGTATACCTGGTGGTTCCGTTGTGTGATATGAAGTGGGACGTATTCGATGCTCGGTAGTATACCTGGTGGTTCCGTTGTATGATATGAAGCTGGACGTGTTTGATGCTCATTAGTATATTTGGTAGTTTTGCTGTTGTTTACCATGTAGTAAAGTGACATTACTTACATGGATTGACCAAAATAAACACAGCGGGTGTCGTCGATGAAGCAGAACACGCTTTTTCCATTTCTGGATAATCTCATCCCTGCATCCCCATCATATGATGTAATCCGTTACAGTTGAATCGATATTCCAGAGTGTGTAGCTCACAGAAGTGCTACCACGATTTTTTTATATAAATAATCACTAATGGCTCGATATCACAACAAACTTTCAAACAAATCACTTTCAAGAAATATCACACTTTATTCTAAGAATTGATAATATATTAATGTAACAAGCAACAAAATAAACAAAAAAGGCACGTGGTGTTTGAGTATTACCACCAATCGCCCATTTCTTGGAACGATATAATTTGTTTGATTGGCTTCTTCACAGTTTCTTCAAATATCTTCAAATCCTCATCTTCAATTTTGTAGATACGACAAACTAGGACCTCTATCAAACAAACACTTGAGTATTCAAAACACAACATTAACACAACACCATCATTATAAGACACTATCTTTGGTCGAGCAATGTATGCTATCCGTAATGCAAGATTGTTTACGATGAAGGGGAAGCAACCCCGATTGTAACATCAATTATGTTTTCAGATTCAACACCTTGTACATGACGCCTTACAATTTTCTCGCATAAACTTGCGGTATCGCCTACAGTAACCCCGCCTCCTCATGTCAGCACAACACCTTATCTGGTCCCTGCACACACTTTCTTCTACAATGACAAAAGTATTCAAAAGTTATTTTCAAGAAAAACAGTCAAGCCCATAATTTTACAGTCGGTATAAAACGTATACTTTCCGAAGTCAATTATTAAAATGCTTTGTTGGCATTCCATAGCATAACAATTAGCCTAAAAATATAGAATGTTTATAAAAAGAAAACAGACTTGGATCACTTGAATAGGTTTATAACGTGAGGTAAGATTGTGTTTTTAAAATACCTGACATAGACCATCTAATAGCAAAGAGTATTACAAATGAAATATTTTGAAATTGTACTTATGTAGAAACTTGATCATTTCATCAATATTATAAGTATCAAATTTTATTCAAAATTTTGTTAACTGCACTTTTGAGACTTTCGACAATGTTCCAACCGTTGCTTGTCTTTAACACCAATTAAAATCTCACTTTAAATATAAAGACAATTTAACAAGTCAACTACTTTCCGTACACTAATGTCTAAAGAATCCATTCAATTAAACCCGTAACATCTATTGCTATGCTGACCGTTTTACATGTACATCAACTTAACACTAACATGAGGTAACAAAGCAATGTATATGATTCTGCCTCTTTACTCATACCATTAACATTAGATATGACACGGCATCACACAGACGTAACGTAATCGACAGAAGTATTAGGAGAGCAAAACTGGCTATTCAAGAATTACATAAAACCAAATCGCTAGTGATACATGTAGGACATTAACAGAAGCGCCTTCCTTAATTCTCAATCACGTTTAAGGTACAACGAGACAGAGAAAAGGTACACCGGGACAAGTGTATACAAACATTGTATGAATCACAGTTACAAATAATGAATTAAAGATATTTGTCATTTTCTTCCTCATTGATCCGTAGCCTCTATATGTAACCATGTTTTAATTTGTTCTTTCTTCCAGTTTAAGATGTCGTTTAATGGTTTTAAAATGTCATGATTGAGTTAGTCATGGATTTCGTTCCTTCGACCAAATAATTGATGAATTTGTCACTTCAAAACTTCATTTGAATTAAATACATCAAATTGATCCTAGAATCTAAACCTAACAGTTATTCGAATGAATGTATGTTGATAGACAATAAGACGTACAAATGTCATTATTTTACTAACCATCATCACCGTTGCCGCTGCCGCTGCCACTGCCACTGCCACCGTCCCTGTCATTGTCATTGCCACCTTCTGAAAAACAGCAAAACTGACACTGTGATCGACAGCTTGTATTTAGAATTCTTCGAACGTGGATGTAATTTCTAAATACCCAGAAACTGAGTAATTATTATAAGATTGAAGTAACGTTAATATTTTTTAGATAAAAAGATAAATCGGCGTAGCTATTCATAGGTATCTGAAATATTATAGACCTAAAACTAATCATACTACATGGGTATAAAGCTTCAAAAACCTTTCGTTATTGCTTTCTTTTTCTCTGCTTTTTCACTTTGTAACATTTCGTCAAAAATATTTCGCAGATTTTCAAGACTGCACACAAGTGAATAACTCTTTTAAATAGAAAAATTAAAAATAGATACAGTAGATCAGAATGATGAATAGAAGCGCATTACACAGCTGTATGGTCTTTCTAGGTCTTGTCAGTAATTATAATATGCAAATTTTTTCTATGGCAATATATATAGATCATGGCACAACAGGATTAACAGAAAAATATTGAGGCTTTCTGATGTCTGAACATATATTTAATCAAAGTTAATTGAATATATTCTAATAACATGAGTAAGCGGTTTTATAATATTGAGGATAAAGTCATCAGTTTTAAGTAATTCCGAATAACACTGCATGACTGAAGGGAGGGACCTCCTGTTTGTTTGGTTTGGTTATCTACAGAGTAAGCAGTAAAGATAAAAGTTTGTGATCTTCTTCTCACAAAAAGAATTAAAACTGAACTGTTTTTTTCTATCCAGAGTCTAAGTGTACGCCAATGGTTGGAAAACATTCAGACAATTTAATCCATTCAAACATTATGATGGCATCCCTTGCTGTTCTTTTGTTGTCAACAGTTTCATGGCAGGTTGGCATTAATTTTACCCAATCATTCATCTCATCGAATCTTCTTGGCTGCGCTCTAATGATGTAGTGCTGTTTTCATAACATTTTCATACAGAGTCGGTCTAGTTTAATGGTTGTTTGCTTATTTAGAGTATTGTTATTTCATGTAGCCTAAGCATCAATTATATCGAATTGAACTGTGGTAACTGCATGGCAGACGTATATATCTATTATATCTCTTGTTTTAGATTATTGAGATGAGCTATAGTTTAAGTGTGTTTTGACGTTTACTGGTCTCTTGTAATTTATATATATATCGTTACTCAATGTATCAGTTGTCTACCTCGATAGGTCAGGTCAGTAATCAATATATCAAGGGTCTACCTCGATCAATCAGGTCAGTAATCAATATATCAGTAGTCTACCTCGATATGTCAGGTCATCAATCAATATATCAGTGGTCTAACTCGATAGGTCAGTTCGTTAATTAATATATTAGAGGTCTACCTTGATAGGTCAGTTCGTTAATTAATATATCAGTGTTCTACCTCGATCAGTCAGGTCAGTAATCAATATATCATTGGTCTACCTCGATAGGCCAGGTAATTAATCAATATATCAGTGGTCTACCTCGATAGGTCAGTTCGTTAATTAATATATCAGTGGTCTACCTCGATAGGTCAGTCCGTTAATTTATATATCAGTGGTCTACCTCGATAGGTCAGTTCGGTAATTAATATATCAGTGGTCTACCTCGACAGGTCAGGTCAGTAATCAATATATCAGTGGTCTACCTCGATAGGCCAGGTCATCAATCAATATATCAGTGGTCTAACTCGATAGGTCAGTTCGTTAATTAATATATTAGAGGTCTACCTCGATAGGTCAGGTCGTTAATTAATATATCAGTGGTCTACCTCGATACGTCAGTTCGTTAATTAATATATCAGTGGTCTACCTCGATACGTCAGTTCGTTAATTAATATATCAGTGGTCTACCTCGACAGGTCAGGTCAGTAATCAATATATCAGTGGTCTACCTCGATAGGCCAGGTCATCAATCAATATATCAGTGGTCTAACTCGATAGGTCAGTTTGTAATTAATATATTAGAGGTCTACCTCGATAGGTCAGGTCGTTAATTAATATATCAGTCGTCTACCTCGATAGGTCAGGTCAGTTATTAATATATCAGTGGTCTACCTCGATAGGTTAGGTCAGTATTCAATATATCAGTGTTCTACCTCGATCAGTCAGGTCAGTAATCAATATATCAGTGGTCTACTTCGATAGGTCAGGTCAGTAATCAATATATCAGTGGTCTACCTCGATAGGTCAGGTCAGTAATCAATATATCAGTGGTCTACCTCGATAGGTCAGGTCATTTATCAATATATCAGTGGTCTACCTCGATAGGTCAGGTCATTTATCTATATATCAGTGGTCTAACTCGATAGGTCAGGTCATTTATCTATATATTAGTGGTCTAATTTGATCAGTGAGGTAGTTCAACGTTATATTATTCATCTGAATCGATTGGTCAGATCCCTTAATGCAGTATTGACATGATACAGTATATCAAACTGTATTAATCGATAGATCAGCAGTCTTTCTCAATCAACAAGGCCGTTAATGGATAGAAAAATGATCTGTCTTCATCTGTCAGGTCTTTAATGTATAGACAAATGATCTGTCTTCTTCTGTCAGGTTGTTAATTGATAGACAAATGGTGTCTCGATCAGTGAGGTCGCTAATGGATAGACAAATAGTTTGTCTCGATCAGTGAGGTCGTTAATTGATAGACAAATGATCTGTCTTCTTATGTCATGTCGTTAATGGATAGACAAATGGTCTGTCTCGATCAGTGAGGTCGCTAATGGATAGACAAATGATGTCTCGATCAGTGAGGTCGCTAATGGATAGACAAATGATGTCTCAATCAGTGAGGTCGTCAATGGATAGACAAATGATGTCTCGATCAGTGAGGTCGTCAATGGATAGACAAATGATCTGTCTTCTTCTCTCAGATCGTTAATGGATAGACAAATGGTCTGTCTTGATCAGTGAGGGCGTTGATGGATAGACAAATGATCTGTCTCGATCAGTGAGGGCGTTAATGGATAGACAAATGGTCTACCTCGATCAGTCAGGCCAGTTATCAATATATCAGTGGTCTACCTCGATAGGTCAGGTCGTTTATCTGTATATTAGTGGTCCAAGTTGATCAGTGAGGTAGTTCAACGATATATTATTCGTCTGAATCGATTGGTCAGATCCCTTAATGCAGTATTGACATGATACAGTATATCAAATTGTATTAATCGATAGATCAGCAGTCTTTCGCAATCAATAAGGCCGTTAATGGATAGACTAATGATCTGTCTCGATCAGTGAGGGCGTTAATGGATAGACAAATGATCTGTCTTCTTATGTCAGATCGTTAATTGATAGACAAATGATCTGTCTTCTTCTGTCATGTCGTTAATGGATAGACAAATGATCTGTCTTCTTCTGTCAGGTCGTTAATGGATAGACAAATGATCTGTCTTCTTCTGTCAGGTCGTTAATGGATAGACAAATGGTCTGTCTTCTGTCAGATCGTTAATTGATGGACAAATGGTCTGTCTCAATCGGTGAGGGCGTTAATGGATAGACAAAAGATCTGTCTTCATCTGTCAGGTCGTTAATTGATAGACAAATGATCTGTCTCAATCAGTGATGTCGTTAATGGATAGACAAATAGTTTGTCTCGATCAGTGAGGTCGTTAATTGGTAGACAAATGATCTGTCTGGATCAGTGAGGTCGTTAATAGATAGACAAATAGTCTGTCTTCTTCTGTCATGTCGTTAATTGATAGACAAATAATCTGTCTTCTACTGTCAGGCCGGTAATGGACAGGAAACTTGTCTGTTGAGAAGGCTCAGGTCGTTAATTGATAGACAAATGATTTGTCTCGATCAGCCAGGCCGTTAATTGATAGACAAATAGACTGTCTCGATCTGGCAGGCTGATGAAAAATTGTCTGTCGCTACTGCACAGGTCGTTTATGGATAGACAAATAGTCTGATTAGATCGCTCAGGTCGTAAATGGATAGACATCTGTGTATGTAGTGATGTGACATGTCGGTGTAACGTGAATACTTTGTTCTTGTGAAGAGACACATCTGATTCTGTAGTGATGTGACATGTCAGTGTAATTTGAATCGTCTGTTCCAGAAAGGAGACACAACCATGTGTAACCTGAATCATTACTTCCTGTGAAGAGAACGATATCAGTATGTAATGATGTGAATTGTCATTGTAACTGGAATCGGTAGTCTTAGGGAAGAGACATATCTGAGTAGGTATTGATGTGGTGACGTGTCAGTGTACGTGAATAACGTGTACTAGGGAGGAGACACAACCATGTGTAATGTGAATCATCATTGCTAGTTAGGAGACACATCTGAATTAGTAATGTCGTGATATGTCAATGTAACGGAAATAATTTCTTTCATGTGAAGATACACATCTTAGTATATAATGATGCGACATGGCGGTTTAACGTGAACTATTTGTTTCACAGAAGAGACACATGTGTAATGTGAATCATTTTTTGGGGGAGACGCATCTGAGTGTGTAGCTATGGAACTGTGATCACGCAATGTCGGAAACGCACGTTAGATATTAAGTAATGACACTGAAACAGTTCCTGATAAATTGTGAAATTTCATTACTCCATTCTATCTATCAATATGACACAACGTAATAAAGATCAGGGAAAATATTTATTTTGATAAAGGTACTGATACTTTAATAGTAATATATATATATTCATAATACATCAGTTGTATATTTTAATGAAAAAAGCCACGATCAGAAAGAAAATATAATAAAATATTCACACGACAAAGCACCGGACGACAACTTAAGGTAACTGGTTACTGTATACGACAGTCACACCACAACATGTTCAGTTACCGTTGCAAGCTCTGCATGATTTTGGACAGTTTGGTATCATCCAAGCCTCGTTCCTCTGACACTCTCCGATTCTGGCCCATGCTCCACACCTCGTGTTAGTGTCGACACACGACGAGGTTGGGCTTTCCTCGTTCCCTTGGCCTGAAAATATACATACCCAGCATAATATTCTATTCTTGAGCACTGCATCTTGCTAGTCGTCAACAAGTATGAGCATACCACAAATACTATTGAACTTCCAACATATCTAACTTGATATCACAATAGAAAATATAACTCCCAATACGATGTTGACTCCAACGCCTAATAGTCTTTATATTTCGTTACCCTGTCTATTTATCTGTCAGTTTTTGACTTCTTGCAAAAAAGCTATGATATCGGGTATCTTGAATATCGAATGAGCTGCGACATGTAAATACTATGAATCAGGGAACATAGTATTGTACTATTTACAAATGTTTGATTAACAATGAGGAAATCGCAAATATCGAGCTACGCAGCTAATATAGACGAGTCTGCGTGCCCTCGATATTCAGTTGGTTTTGACATATATGTTGAGCACCAATAAATGGTGGTATAAGTGATTTGATTGTTTCATATGCCTACGACTAACTACACTTTATATTTAGACAGATAAATGCTGTATGGCTGAAGGGAAATTAAATTTGATACTTCTCTTTATTACCATGAAACCTATCAATAGTTAAAACGCATTAGTTAAATGAAGATATAATGAGGTTGTGTGTAAGGAGTGTACAAAAGATACACCTTTTCATAATTAGCGATGCTAAGGGCCTAAAATTTGAAGCCTAGGAGGCGACTAAGGCATATCCAAAGTGATCAAAAAGAAAAGTCAAAATCTAGACAGAGGTGCAGCAGTCCTATAATTAGATAATTTCTTAATTTCCATACATCAGATAATTTTAGAATAGCGTCAGGTACATGTGTGTTTTCTGAACCGTGCCAGTATTCGAGCGAATTTAAACGTGGCAAGCAGGTTACGGCATATCGTAATTAGTTTATAAACACTTCTAGGAATTTTGTACAGTTAAACTACTATAATACTTACTTAGAATCTTCATGAATATATTTCATTCTTCACTTTTTCTTATTTTTTGGAAAATATTAATTCACTTTTTATATTCTCTACTGTAAACCTAAGAAGACAGTCCTGAACATCTCCGGTATTGATCTTTATAGTTACGTACCGTTTTAAATAATCGTTGTTTCTCTACTGAGCTCTGATTAATATGTATATATAAACACTTTTCTAGATACTGATGTACAAGTAAGAACAAAATATGCTATCAAAGAGAACATATCAAGGAAATATTTTCCATTGTTTTTGTTTTTGTTTTTTTGTTTGTTTTGGAGGGGGGGGGGGGGGGTTATTTGGACAATGCATACTGATGCATTTTACTATCATTAATAGTATTTGTGAAGAAGATTATATACATTATTTTACAAGGCAGATAAGAGATGGACAGTGATAAAATCCCAGAGACTTGTGCAGAAACACAGGATATCAATATACATCTCTCTCATACTGTATGTGACATGTATAATGATGTGTAAGCAAAAGTTACTGACTCTAAATACACTTATTGTTACAGCAGTAATTTAAAAACTGACTCTAAGTACACTTATTGTTACAGCAGTAATTTAAAAACTGACTCTAAGTACACTTATTGTTACAGCAGTAATTTAAAAACTGACTCTGAATACACCAATTGTTGCAGCAGTAATTTAATAGCTGACTCTAAGTACACCGATATTGCAGAACCAATTACTCATTTCATGCTGCATGTGATATTTTAAATCTACCAATATTGTGTAATGGTTTTTCACTACAGGCATTAATAGCTTCAATCTGAAGTTTAACAAAGGTTTTTTTTATTTCAAGAACACAATAGACATGAAGCTGTTACAGATGATGAACAAATGTTTCACAAAACACCGAACGAATTATCTGTTTCATCTAATCGACTGCAAGACAGGTAACACGATAGGGTTATCAATCAAGTCATCTTTGCTTATTGTGCTTTCCGACAAAAAAGTGAGGAGCCAGAGATAGAATCGATTATCTTCAGAATGATCGGTTTGAGAAAACGAAAAAGGCAAAAACATCATTAGTGATTATGTCAAAATGGCCCTTATTATTTGCTTCTATATTGGTGTTCATTGCAATTAGTGTATTTGTTTAAAAACAGACAATTGACCGAGAATCCAAAATAAACAACTGTGTCCTTGTTAATTTTTTGTTCTCGATCTGACCCTCTGCACTCGACCTAAATAAATGAACACGTGCACTGAGCGTCCTAAATGGGTGCTTTGTGCTTTTTTTTTTACCTGCATAACTGGCCTGCTGAACATGACCTAAAAAGGTGCGTTGGTGAACTTGACCTAAATATCAGATATATTGTAGTTGACATACCAAATTTTTAATGTGTGCTTTAGAATCCTCGACATGAAAATTGATTTGTACCAAGCAAGGACAACTGAAAGATGTCATTACACCACTACATTTGTGTAATTATGAGACGTTAGAATCAACAATGCCTATGTATACCTATAAGTAATCCTGCGTCGTCGACGTAACTAAACCTTGATTTGCTGGTATTCACGAGTCAATCTTAACAATACTTGTGAACGTTTCACTTTTACTGACACATGTGAGACTTGCAATGGTTTGGTTTTGTTGGATGGACATATAACAAACACGCCGATAGAGGCTATCAGGAAAGATATTATAGATGCATTTTTAGATATTGAGGAGCAATCATAACATTGATTATATTACTTCCAAGAGACATATATACCTTGACACACGCCACATGCTTTTCTGCAGTTTACCCTCATGTAATTCGGGTTCTTGTTACACTCTCCCATTGCCTTCCATGTCTTGCACATGCTATTGTCGTCTTCACACGCTCCTCCTGAAACATCAGAAACATCGTATCATATGATACTTGCGAATTTGTCATAAGATATGTTAACAGTTTATTTTGCAGTCTAAGTAGATTACAGTACCTGTGCATAGTCTATCGTCGCATTCTTGCCCTGTTGAACACTGTGAGCATGGTTCACCCTGCACGTACGGTTCTTGTCCTATCCAGTTACCTCTGACAAATAAAGCATGGTCTCAATATCAAACCTAGAACAAGTCCCGGACTCAAATTACACAAAAAGCCCTAACAGAAATCAGCTAAATGAAACCGTACAAAAAATATATATTTTGGAAACCTTCATAGATTTTAATAAATGGATATTGCATCTTCGGAGTCCTACTGCTAGTTCTTACGTCATATTGAGGGTAACATGAATTTATCAGTCGAGTTAAGGAAGAAACACAATACATAAAAAAACAACTTATGTAAATGCCTATAAGCTTTTAACGTGAACGATTTTGTCTACAATGTATATCGACATACCAATTTAAAGACCATCTGGTGTTTGTTGGATGTTTTCAAAGGCCGAAGAAAGGCTGTTGCTTTCTCCCCGCTGTGTGCTATTTGTCATATTGATTTTGTTATAGGACACTTCTTGATATGCTAAGATTTTTACACTGTATATATCATCATTACGTAACATCCCTTATGATAAAATGTGTGAATTTCAATTAGTTTACTAATTGCTGTTCTCCACTGTCCCTACTTTGAAATAATCATTTCTTTGTTAGAAAGTGATTCATAACGAATTTTTTTAAAAGTGCAAATGTTATCAACGAGATACGTGTGATTGACGTTATTATTGATATTTTCTCTCCCAGATACAAAGAGCCGACAATCGGACTGCTCGGCGTGACCTAGCACAGCAGATCTGTGTATCCCGTATCACGTCAGTTGATGCATGGATGTGGAAGTTAACATTCCGACATTTACCGATAGCTTAACAACGCATAGATCGATGGATTGTCTTTTTAAATAGAATTTTCCAATCGTGAAACATGCTTACTATGATAAAATTCTATTAAAAATAACATCCTCTGACATTGCAGGAAAATCCATTCGCTTATTGATTTTAATATAGATTGTGGTGTTGAAGTTATATATACTGTTTAAGTATGGTTTAAACAGCGTTCATCTTCAACATCAATTGATATGGTCTTTGTCTACAAAAACGTCGTTTTATACGTCTTTCTTTAATCTATAAAAAGTTCAGATATTTCACTAGCAAGGTGGATAAAGTTTTGATGTTTATGATTTCAAGGATGTCACAATATTATCGTGCCATGATTGTTTCGACTATAGACGTCGAAGAAACTACTTTTTTCATTCCGACTGGCTCTGATATTCGTAATGGTTTGTGGAATGCGTTTTTCTTGCTATGAGATCGTTCCCTGGAAATAATGCATTAGTAAAGTCATTCAAACCTAAGAGGGAAGATGAGGGGAAAGTACTGGTTACAATCACATCGGTAAACTCGTGGGAAATGTTCCTTCCAAGTATTTGAAAATCATGTCGCCGCTCTATGAGAGCAGTGACAGTGACCCTTTCAAATTCAATAGTCTTCCGCAATACTTTTACGCAGAGCAATAGGCTAGATAAATTGTCATTCCTTAATTCAGATGTCCTTTTGTAATAATATACGTGACTTGTAGTGATCGTTCCTTGGGTAGAAATTAAGATAATCTTTGATACTAGAGGTTATTTCTAGAATGTCAAACATTTTGGCTATTTCCAGAGGTTCGCCACCTCTATTCTTTCGACAAGGCTTCCTAAATGCAACCGTTATTAATTCACGTCAAACTTTTTCGTCCATGAGTAGGATATATGATTGTTGCTCTTATGAACATTCGATAGAGAAATATACACCAAATAAATGTTTATTTACAGGAAAAAACTGCTGATTCAGTTTGTAAATATATAGAATTTTCTTTAACAATCATAAATGAAGACAACAATCATAAGTCTTATCTGATCTTATATCACCATCACAAAAAATATACAATAAATAAATATGCATTGTGTTTTGTGATTCTTAAATAGAAAACGTAACAGCGTACTGGTAGGGTTCCTTTAACATGCGTACATTAATTGTTCAATTTAAGACCTTACAAAATGTTAATCCTTTTTTTTTTTTTTTTTTTTTTTGCAGGAGTTAAAAGACAATTTGTGGTAGCAACTTACTTTGGATCATAGAAACAGCCGATGTACCAAGCATTACGTATCCACTTTCCATAGACAAGCAGATTAGGACATTGGACCATAGCGCAACCGACTTGTGTGGTTTTGTGCCACACCATCTGTCGACATTATAAAACAATTGCAAATCAGAAATATGCAACCGTGTTTATCCGGTTCCTAATTGTATCATAAGATCGCCAACATTAATTGGCAACATTTGAGATAACGAACGTCAGTAAAGACATTGTTTGATATTGGAGTGGGTAGGAATCTATATATATCTGTATAATTCTAGCAAATATCTGACCACCTTATTGTCGTAATCGACAGTGTACATTGCGGGTAGTAAATTATAAAAAAAACGTGACTTTATGTGTAATTCCCAATTTTCATGCGATTTCCTACCCAACATATATTTGATTTCCTGTAGAGGTTTTTTTTTAATCTCCGTGAGCCGCATGGACATTCATGATGTCTATGAACAATAAATCGATGTTTAGATACAATGAAAATTCATGATGTTTTAAGAATGAAAAAATTGAAATTTAAGGAATTAATTTAATGAAAATTGTTGTGGTATATCACGGCTATGTATGACACTATTGTGACGTCATAGATAACGCACCTTTTTATGACGTCACATGATTGGCCGTTATTGTAAAACGTACCGTCAGAGTCAAAACAAGTCTGAAAATGATTTGAGAATTTTCGCTTATTTTTTCTCAGAAATACGGATTTCATGATAAAGTCTTGTACTCGGGCCGAGGTAATATTATTGAACTCTTTAAGTTATTTGATTACATATAATATTTATAGCTAAGTAAGATAATTTAATTTCGTTTTGAAATATGCAATTTTGCCGTGAAAATAAGAGAGATAGTTTGACTGAGTGAAAATATTAATTCCCCCACATTAAAATATGAAAATGAACATTATCTTTCATATTATTCGTTTTTTGATAATAATCTCTTCTCAAAATAAAAATTGGATATGTCTCGTGTTTGACACTGAAAATCTATTTAGGAGAAGTGATAAATAATCACAGCAGATGTTCCCTAATACTATTTCTCCATATAATGATTGTAGAGAGCATACTATTATTATATAGTAGTAATTTCTTTGTGTTAATTATAGTTGTCCACTTCCAGGTAAAACAGCAGTAAATAACAGACGGTCTTGATTGTCTCGTTCAAACAATCAGCAAAAACTCTTGCTATAAAGAATATAAACCACGGCAGCACATTCATAAACTGTTAAGGTATGTTTAAACGACAAGCCATTACTTCTACCATATGTTACCTGTGTATAGTGGCAAGCCTTGCCACATGCTTGGGGTCCAAGTGTGTAAAACATATTCTCGTCGTACCAGGATTTCATCGCGTCCTTGATGTACTTTTTAATTGACTTATTGTTAGAGTCAAATGCCAAATTTTCTCCTCTTCCGCGACTCTCGTGTTTGAAATCACAATTCCGAATCCATGAGGCAGCTTCATCGGAAAGGGTTTGGTTCCAGACCTACAAATATCAATACATATATTGTGGAGTCTAGAATTGTCTGTTTGGCAAGAGTATTGTGTTCCTGATTCATATTCACAACAGAAACATAAGGTTGTTTTCATTTATTAAAGTAACTTTTAGCACATATACTCAAGGAATAAAGATACGCAGGGTGACGTTATTTGCAATATCTTGGGAACGCGTTGTTTAAAACAAATGCAAATAGGTCAAGTAACTCTCTAGGTTACAGTCCACGTGATCCTGTATCGAATATTGCATTATTGTATTGCGTGACGATATCTTCCGGGAAAAGCACATTGAATGCGACAATGAGTTACAGTGCTCGTCATTTAATTTGGTAGTCTTCATAGAGACCTATCATTTTCCGATATTTTGATTAAGTTTTGGTAGCATTAAACAGTGGCACGGCTGACGGACGTTCAGAGGGATCAGGCCATTGCGATGATTATGCAAGGCAAATACAGGTAGCCAGACATTTCGATGTTCATATTTGCACTATAGAGCGTCTTGTTAGACGTCTAAGGGAAACTTTGTTTTGGTGTCCGCGCGTTACATCACAACGTCAGGTCAGGTTTATTCGTCCCGTGCATTTGCGCAATCGGCACCTTACTGCCACTCAATCTCTTTCATACCATAGGTACTCATAACCGTCCTATCCATGCAAAAACTGTCAGGAAACGATTGCGGGAAGTTGGTCTTTGGGCACGTCACCCGTTTCTAAGTCTGCCCCTTACCGCTGCTCGTCGCCAACGTCGATGACCAGGGTGACGGCACATGCCAGAATATTCCCATTGAAGCAGTGGAGGCGGGTCTTGTTTACTGATGAGTCCGGGTTCACTCTGTTTCGAGCAGACGTTCGACGTCGTGGAGAACGTTTTGCCGACTGCTGCGTAGTAGAGACGGATAGGTTTGGGGTGGATAGGTTATGGCGTGAGGAGGAATCTCACTTGGAATGAAATCACTACTGGTTGTGGTAGCGGGTAATGTAACTACCGCTATGTATAGAGATGAGACCCCATGTTGCACAATTATTACCGCAAAACAACCTCATATCCCAGCAGGATAATGCTCGGTCCCATGCAGCAAGGATCTGTCGGGACCTTCTCACTAACAACAGTTTCCACCCACTAGACTGGAGGATAAACTCACTCATGTACTCCATGCCTAGGAGAATCAGAGCTGTGAAGAGAGCGAATGGGGGACATACCCAGTATTGACTAGCCTGCTCCTACAATCAGACAATTTCGATTTCAGATTACAGTTCTTTCAATTCCCTAAATCACCAACGTTGATTTTGCAGTTTGTTCTGTATGGATCAATTTTCATTATTACTTTTTAAAATTGACCGTTATACTCGACATCTTGCCCAGAATCATCTTCAAAGTTTACCCTGCATTTATTATATCCCTTGGGTACATATGTGTCCGTAAGGCCAATGAAGTAGAAAACAAACTGGATGTGATGCGTGGTGCATAGCACCTAATTTTGTTGCAAGTGTTCATATGAAGATATATAATAATAATAATAATAATAATAATAATCATTATTATCTTACCACATACCCCGTATGTAATCCAATGCATTTTCCCATGTAATTTTTGTTATTTATTTTTTAGGTTTTTTTTGTAAATATCACTAATTATGATACCGGGAACACGTGTGATTGGTTGTACCACTCAGAAACCGACTGTGATGTCAAAATATGGACAAAAAAAATTCTTATGGAATGAAAGTGCAACAAGATCATACATATAAGTGTTTATGACATTTAAGATCCTATATGTATGTGGCTTATACCATCTGGAATTTAACTGATCATATTCTTATCATATACGATATTATAGGAACGTACAAGAAATATGTATGTATGACATTTAGCACAAGACGGACGATAGTAAACGTTCAAGAAATCAGGATTATTATGGATGATGATGATGATGATGATGATGATGATGATGATGATGATGTGGCAAAATATAAACACGCCAAGTTGTAAGTATAAATAAGATACATTTTTCAGGTCTTTGTTTAAGAGAACCGCTGAATATTTGCACTTAATCCCTAAGCAGTAGATTACTAATACTTCTCTACATTTCAAACCGTGTGACTTGAGGACAACACAGAAAGCCATCTCTAATTCATTTATACTAACGTGTGTTAAAAAGCATTTATGGATAAGAATCAACGGATTAAAGACTGCCTCATAGGAGAGTACGAGAACCATACAAAATGGAAACACTGTCTGACGTCTATATCTTTGAAAGAAAAATGACTGATAGAAAGAATAGGGAAAAGCATTGATAGATCTCAAATAGGATAAATAAAGACCTATTTTAATGTTGTTGATTTGTTAGTAAGCGTTTACATTCCTATAGTCCTTAGGTATTTACCTCTTATCTTAGGAACATTTAAATAAATGATAATCCACATATGTGAAACCAGTTACACTCTTTCTGAAAGGAAATACATTAAGTACATGACCCAAGCCCAAACCCGATATACTTACCATGGCTTGCATGTTGGCGGCTGGAGGCTGAACTAGTCTCCTGTAGTTGTTGTGACGATTTAGTAGGAGTTCTTTGTAGGGATCAACGTCAAGTATGGCGCCTCTGGCGCTAGATGAGCCCACACACGCGGTCATTATTATCAGAATCAGTACCTCCATGTCTCTGAGTTTATACTTAAATTAAAAAAAACGACGCTAATATTACAATCAGGAGAACTACTGACCTTCATATTTCAAAATGGTACAGTGGGTTTTAAAAAACTAATCAATTTCATGAAAAATACTTTCCTAGCTCACTTTGCACAAACATAGTACTTTCATAGCGCTAAGAGCACAAAAATGCTCTTAGACGTCTGCAGGGTCTCGAGAAAATAGAAAAAAAACATGTTAAGATATATAAGGAAATATTGGCGATTCTTACATACACCTAGCTAATTATCTAAATAGTGTTCTATCTTCAACAATCACTTTATCACATTAAATCCAACAACATAGATATATTGTTAAGGAACAATGTATTGTTCACGGAATGGGTGAGGGAAAATATAGAACCTGATATGAGTTTCAATTTGATATGTGGATTTATGAAACATTCGGGACGAGTTTCAACATAAACACATAGGATGGTACAATGTGTATCGAACACAGAAATTAAAAAAAAAAAAAAAGAAAAAAAAAAGCGGAGGTTGTGTAAAGATATCAAAAAGATATGAAAAATACCGGGTTAGTCAAAATACTAACAGAAGTAAAACTTAGTAATCTAATATTCTCATATTTTGATAGAAAAAAAGTATTTGTGTTTAGTCTGAATCATAATTTCGTTCTGATGACGTTAATTGTTGCATCCGTGTTTCGCTCATACACATTTACGTTAACATGTGCAGAAGCACAAATTTGATTCTATGCATTTATGTTAATCCGAAGACAGAGACGTACGCAGGCTTCAAAATGACTTAACGCATGTATGTCTAAACAGACGGAAATATGCGTAAACAGACGGAAATATGACTAAACAGGCGGAAATATGTCTAAACAGGCGGAAATGTGACTAAACAGACGGAATATGATTAAACAGACGGAAATATGCCTAAACATGCGGAAATGTGACTAAACAGACGGGAATATGACTGAACAAAAAGAAAATTAAGCATTTAAATAATAAAAATTGGGCATTGCTATTGTCGGAATACGCTTGTCACATATTTTTGCTGTATTTTGCATGAACAGAAAATAACTGCATTTTTAGCACGTTCGTCAATTCGACAAAAAATGTTTTCTTCATTTGCTTTTAAAATTACATTATAAATCGCTGTCACATCTGTTGAAGTTTGGAACTATATTTCTGCGCCCAACAATTATTTTGGCGAACCTTCTCAGGTAAAATTCAGCGCAATGTCAATGTCATGTAGACAAAGGACGAATAAAAACTGTTGACGTTTCAAGAGTCTGGTTTTCAATTAATGTTGCAGGATACATTGTAAGTGTCTTAAAATATGAGTTGCAATTTGGCTTGGGAAAGAAAGTCAAAAGTGGCTCGCCACGTTTGTCTTTTCTTACCTCACGCATTTATAACAGACCAAGTACAGGAATATATACAGTAATACCCTAACAGAAACAGAGGTATGTCCATTTAAGCCCAACAAAAAGACATGGGGTAAAGATATTCCAACTGACCTAAGTAAAATAAAAATGTGATAAAAACGATATACTCATTTTTAATGCTTTATTGTATTAGAGTCCATGTAATTAAAAATAACTAGCAAATTTATGACTTTATGCAACATATCACATTCTACCAAACAAATTTCGATATGTTCGCCAAATTACAGGCTTAGATATCGATAATATTAAGTCAGCTGTCAATTGTATTAAATGCCTTCATGATAAAAACAAAAATACAAAATGGAAAAATATTTATCAATATATGAGCTTCCATACTGTCATTTTATCTTCAAAATAACTCAAACATTACAGAAAACATATAAAAAGACAAAAAACATATCTACAATACCTTCTTAATCTGTAACTGAGAACAAATCGGTGTAAAGCTTCGGGTGCCCAGCAGGAGAATGCCGTCAACTTTGAGACGTTCATATTTTATAGTATGTGATCAATGGAAAATTGGGCGTCGTCAGCACGTGGATGCCGACGAGTAGGAGGAGTCTCCAGATTACACCACGTCAGTGGACAAAGCGGGAAAGGGCTGGGCTGCAATCCTGGGATAATCACATCATTAACAGTCAGGGAACGTCATACTCGCTCATAATTTGCTCGCACTACGTTATTTATATAAATCCATATTTATTATATTTTTTTAGTAATCTGATAAGGTATTAGGTTTATCGGGTGCAATAGTCATAACTGACATCCTTTCTAAGCAATTTGATTGTCATGAATATTAATAATGCGTAACATATATGTAATTACGTCCTGACATTGATTACACTATCACAATATGATTACTCCAGTTGTAGATTGTGACTACTATAACAAATATATCCCTCCCGTTGTAGAGTGTGACTTCTATAACAAATATATCCCTCCCGTTGTAGAGTGTGACTTCTATAACAAATACATCCCTCCCGTTGTAGAGTGTGACTTCTATAACAAATATATCCCTCCCGTTGTAGAGTGTGACTTCTATAACAAACAGATCCCTTTCGTGTGTGATATCTATAACAAATACGTTCTTTAGGGGTTCCAAATGGCTACCGAGAATGCATCACACACTCATATTGCTCTTATGGTTTTGTGGATGTAGTTATGTTTCTATGAGGAGTTCCATTTACAGTTTTGTCACACAGATGTATAAGTGTTTTTGGAACACACCAATAGTTTTGGATTCTGAAACAGAACTTTGGATTTGATGATTTTGAAGGATAAACTAATTTAGAACTGTGGTGATTGTGAATTGTATTCACCTGTAGCACTGTCACCTGTATTACACTTACACAGATACCTATTGTTCTTACCTGGATTGGCCTGTGCTATAAAGTCATGTCTACTCCCACCAAGACTGGAAGATCTGGAGGGGGTCCTTCAACAAGGCAGAGTGTTGTAGTAGATGTAGATATCAGAAAGGATACAGCAGTGTTTCTTCTATAGGAATTTAATTCCTCTCGCTATATTGTTAAAATATTTTAAATTCTAATTCTGTTTCGAGTTTTTCCTATTATTAGGGTCCCCATCCCCAACTCATCAATGCCCCTTTTTAACATTACTTGTATATTTTGGTCTGATGACAGGGTGACTTGTGAAACGTAGATCTATGTATCAAAGATAGATTAGAAATTACGAGAATTTTAATCTCCCGAATTCATTTGCATTCGCACATTCAGCGAAATAAAAAAAGCTCGCGAATATAAACTGCTATACACTATTACCAGTGTCGTCGATAAGTATTTCAATGATACTTATGGTGCATTATGTGTACATGATGCGATTTACGTTCCCGTCAGACGATGAAATAACAAGAGGACTGATCTCAAAGCTCTTAAGTATCTTAAAACAATTGATGACACGAAGCATGATACGGTGTAGCAACGTTAACAACGATATACTTAAACATTTTACTGTCATGTGTAGTATTGATTGATAGAAATTTTGCAAGAAAAAATCTTATCGTTGGAGTGTATACGTAGTCGAGTCTTCTTTAATTTTTCGCTAATGAAATTACATCAATCATAAAATTTTAAAAAATATATATACTTATCTCGATGTCTGAATCTGTTGTAATTGTAGTTTCAATAATTAATTATGTATATAACATAAGTAAACACTGTATTAACAACATACACATAAACTGTATTGTATCCTGGCAGATCTACAGTCTGTTTGATTCTTTGTAAGTTCGCTGTACATTAGAAGGATGTTTTTAGATGGGTCATATCCATATCATGACTTAACTCTCAGTACTGAAATATGTCCGCACCATACCCAAATTGCGTATCCTCCATTGAACAAAACATTGACAGTGTGTTGTCGTATTAAATTCATACATCATTATTTAAACAAGTACACGTGTAATTATATGTCCTGTTTGTCCGCTAGGTTACTGTAGTCTTGTCACTTAAAATATATAGTGCATGTACACTAAAATTGATATTTGTCCGTTCCTCCCCCCTCCCCCCTCCAATCCCCCCCATTGCACCTTCCCTTCAATACTCCCCCCTTAACATGTAAATACCACATTTTTACTCTAAAAGTATCTCTCTAAAACTCTGTACAATGAAATGGTACAGTGCTTGTTTCTTTGTTTCTGTTGGATGTAGTTGCAGTTATTTTGTTTTGTTTTCAGGTCAATTGTTACTGAATTATTACATGAACATTTAGTATAAACATAGATCGATATCAGCACATCGATTGGTGTAGGCTTTAGGAGAAAGGAATTCATCAATCCCAAACATCAGGATAACTAAAATAAATCATTCTTCTTTGATTTATTTATGTGACCACGAATGGTGAGCGCCAAGATTCCTCCGGAATGCTTTGTAAACTGTAATCGATTTTTAATACCATTACACAAACATAGTCCCTTAAATTAAAGTCTTCTTAGTTGGAATGTAAAGTCAATGTGACTGTTGGTCATCATTTGTTGAAAGATTATCTTTTAGAATACAGTGTGTAGCAAATAACATCTTAATACTAGTTATTTCATGACACCCATTAGACATGTAAAATGGACAAGTACATTAAAGGATTAATTTTTTTTTTCACGGACTGATGTAAGAAACTGAACCTCGTGCAAATAAAGTACCATTTGCACGAAATTCACTTTCCTTCATCAGTCCATGCAAGCAACAAAACAGACAATCAATCCTTATATTCACATTAACCATTTTATGAATACCGCTTCTCGAACGCCCTTGACTCTACAGTACAATGTATTTTCATTTTGTAACATTGTTGCAGTTATTGTAAATGTGTAAACATAAATGAAATATTGTTAAATGATGCTATTGAAGCAAGCATTTTAAATTTTACTTTTAGTTTCAACAAATAGGAAGTTTTATAATGAACAAGTTTCGGAAAGTGTTCTTTAGTACGGGTTGTATCGCATAACAGTGACAATACTACGAATTTGTGATTTAGTGACACTTTAAGCGAGTCCGATGAAGTTGACAGATGTACCGTTT